ATTTTGGCAGGAAATTTAAAACAAACTTCTGAGATTGATTTTCTCTAGATCTTTCAGAGTATATCACAGCAGTCTAATATAATTTATTGTTTCGCCTTTACTGTTCCATTATTTTTCATGCCTATTACGTATTTTGTATGTGCTTCCTAATTAGTTATTTGTATTCTACACTTTATTTGAAACATTATGAACTACGAATGGTAAAAAATTACGGAAGTTTAGGGATGAAAAGAGGGGGCAAAGGGGTTAAAGTTTTCACTTTGTCATCTTGCAGAGCTAAAAGTATTCAACTTGCAAGAAAACTAATTACATATTTGAAATCAGCACAAAAAGGTCCATAAGCAGCTCAAGTTCCATTGCTCTAGGGTGAATATTTTAAAAAACGTGTCTTTGAGTAGCATCTCCCCTTAATTGGGCTGTTTGAAGTGTAATAGAGTAAGTGTGATATAAACATGAAGAAAGTAAGGTGGACAAAAGGACAGCTTGCTGCTGGCAGGAACCGAATATGTAACTTTCGGGTTACGTGCTTGACACTCGACCAGTCCAGCTACGGCAGTGGTCGTCTTCTCGTCAACTTTATAGAAGGAAAGTAAAATTTAAGTGCTCGTTTTTTTTTTGTTAGACAAAAAATAATGTGAATTAACAGACAATAATGCCAGGCAAAGTATAGGAGATGTTAATAGAATTAACTGTAATGTAAATGTGACGAAAGAATTAACCCCTTCAGATGCCACCTATTAACAACTGTCTCTAAATGTGTCAAATCACTATAGCGTTATTTCAAGGCACTCATTATATATTGCAACAAGAATGATGATATATGGGGTTTAACATCCCAAAACCACCATATGATTATGAGAGACGCCGTAGTGGAGGGCTCCGGAAATTTCGACCACCTGGGGTTCTTTAACGTGCACCCAAATCTGAACCTACAGCATTTTCGCCTCCATCACAAATGCAGCCGCCACAGCCGAGATTCGATACCGCGTCCTGCGGGTCAGCAGCCTAGTACCTTAGCCACTAGACCACCGTGGTGGGGCTATTGCAACAAGAATAATGGCATAATTGTAGAATTTTCGTGTGTTATAGTGACTCATTCTAATTAAGTTACAATTAAACATCTCTTTATCCTAAAGTCACTGATGCTTACATTTGGCATAAAGAGAATCGAATCTTGGGCTAGGAATAAAGTGCAAATTCATTATAGGTTATTTTAATTTTGAGCGAAGAAAAATTCCGTATTTCACATTGCTTGCAGCATGCAGCACGTCGCACAGCTCGTCGAACGTGGTAGTGCCTTTAGAATAGTGATCATGTGTGTCAGTACACTGCAAAATGAAGTTGGATGAAGACAAATTTATTAAGCAGGAGGTTGAATTCATCTAAGGCACGATATGTGTTGCCCTTTCTTAGCCTCTGCTTGATGCAAATGACAAAAATGAGTGCCGTTTGCAATTGTGTACATAGTGTCTCAAAGGGTGAATATTGTGTCTAACAAAAGAAAGGAGCCCTTAAAATTTACACTTTCCTTCATTTATAGTGAGGGTCTAATTCTAGCAGATTTGATGCCTTAAGGTGGTAAACAAGGGATAATTGGTTAGCGGCCATCTCGTAATAAAATAAGATCACGTGTTACTTGACGCGAAAACAAGTAACAAGAGTGTTCCACACTCGCCGCCATGGCTACTGATGGGTCTGATTGAAGCTCCCACGTTTAATGCATATATATATATATATATATATATATATATATATATATATATATATACACACACACACACACCCTATAAAGTGGATGGAGGATGACTACCACCGTAGCTCAGTGGTAGAGCATTGGACACATTATCTGAATGTCACAGGTTTGGATCCTGCCGGTTGCAAGTTATCTCTTCATCCACTTTCCTTTCTTCACATTTACATTACAATTACTTCTAAATAACGTTCCCTATTTCCCCTGGCATTACTGTCTCTTATTTCTCATTAATATTGCGTCCACTATATCCCTTTCTGTCCCAAATTTTTTGTAGGGTAGGATGAAAATTTGTTGTGTTCATTTCTAGCTAAGAGGTTATCGAAATGCATGCGAAAAAATTTTGGAGACTTTAACTACAATGGTTTTCCCAGTGTAATTATGTCCAGTACACTGGGCATTAGGATCCCATCGTTGCACCTATGGTATACACATTCTGCTTTCTACCTTGAAAGAGTGTTGCTTTTGGTCTTGTCAAAAGGTAAATTGTCTTATAAAACACAGAAATGGTTTGTTTTCATCTGAAAAAAAAAAAATCTAATTGGTAACAGTCGCACATTGCTTCATGCAGGTAAGAAACCAAGGAGTGAGCGCGCTTAGTGTCCACAAACCAACTTTTCCTGATTCCGCTTTCTCCTCATGTTCCATGCTTTTGGTAGTTTCCAGGATGCTCCTGTTACACTTTTGATGACTGGGCTTCAAGTTTCTCGCCGAACGCTCACTCCTAGTTTTCTTTTTTTTTTCTTGTATGTTTGGCATGATGTAATCGAATAGGATCCTGGCGTCCTGTGTACTGGACATACATTCTCGCTTAGTGAGCAAACTACTGGTTAGAAAAGCTACGTTTTTGCATTATCATTTCAAAAGGACATCAGTGAGGTCGCACGATTTAAATGTTGGAATCAGGTGAAAAAAAGCTCCTAAGATAGTTTTGTATACTTCATCGCACCATACGCACACTTTTTCTTGTGGATGACGCCCATATTCTGAGGTGCCACAATAAAAAAGTAGGGCTGAGGAAGGAAAAACATTCTAAATTATATTGCTCACCTCTTACAGAAGCAGCAAAAGTTGTTTTGAATCTGGTTGTGGCTCTGCTTCCTTTTTCGCACCGCCTTTTTTGGTATGTCCAATACACTGGTCACTAGGGCGGAAAGGAATATTACATATTTATGTGCTTGCAAACCTGAGATGGGCTAGTCAGCGTAGTCCGCAGCCATGAAACTTTTTTGCCAGCTGGCACCGTGTAGCACCTGATCATTTGAACAAGTAGACAGCTGACCAATAAGCCTTTGCATAGTATCTAAAAACATCAAGTCTGCCAGAACGAGACCCTCGCTGTAAATGAATGAACAAGGAACTTTTTTTAGGGGTCATTTTGTTTGACACTGCCTTAAAGGGGTACAACATGAAATTTCACAGCCGAGATAGCCTGCGAGATCGATTTTCGGGAACATGGTATATTGTCTGCAAAATATCAACAGTGAATATAGCTTGAAAGGTATCTTACAGCAATGTTAAAGTTTGAGTTTTGAAGGTATTTACACAATCATAAGGGGCCCCATGGGGACCCTCTTACTTCTCCACGTCGCCACACTGCTGTCACTAAAACAAGTTATAATAATGTCATAGCCGCCCTTCTTCATCTCTCTTTCCTCCTTTGTCTCTTTTTTTTTTACTTGTTTTTCCTGTGGCGGTTACTTTTCGGGGCCTGCTCGGGAGGCCGTGGTCGCGGCGCACGTGTTCAAAGTTTTGTGTTTGGCAAGATTGCTGTTTCGTGTCCTTGGCAAGATGGCTGTCTCGTGTCCTGTTCGAAAAGATTTCTTGATAAAGACCATTTGGAAGTGCGTCACAATTCTGTGTGCTGACGTGGTCAAAAGCTGCACATTCTAGGTGGCCATAGTTGAACCCAGTGGCTTTTCGTTTTTGAGCTGTCTGAAGCTCAAACTGGTCAGTAATGAGGAGCCTGTACTTAATTATCTGTCATACGCTGTAGCAGACAATGTGCTGCGTTACAGCTAACAGGCCCGCAGCAACGTATTTCAGTGAGAAAGCGCGAGACCACAGTTTTTGTGTCAGTACCCTTTAGTGAAAACCAGCAGAGATTGAAGCCAAGGAAGGTATGAGTTTGTTGTCGTGTTATTTCGCAGCAAAAGTATGTCATTAAGGTATGAGAGATGTTAATTGTGGCCTTTTAAGTGTATTGTAGTAATTATGGCATAGTTACAAAAAATTAACTATGCTTGGCGCTCTATCAATCGAGCTAGAGTGGCAGTCGTCTTCTCGTTCACTTTATCGGGTATTTATCGGCATGCAAACGCCGATAAATATAACGCCACTCATAGCCATAATGCCGAGTGTCAACCCCCGCCCCCTCTTTTTTTCCTGCTTCCTTGGCTTCATTCTCTGCTGGTTTTCATTAAAGTTGTAATATGGCTAGGGAACACAAAACCTTGTAAATCAATTATTACACATTTGAATTGCAGTCTGCTCAAGCTACACATTAAAATGAAAAAGGACATCTTCTAGCATAGCACTTTAAAAATGTGGTGTTACCTTCGTGTGTAGATGCTACAGAATCTGGAAAATTCTGAGAAGGGAAACTATAGATATGACAAAACATTTTGAAGCCCTTCCTCTGTCAGGAGAATGGGGAGCACTTGAAGCTTGGAGTGCGTGTGTCTGACCTACTACTTTTCTTTCTTTTTGTGTTTCTCTCCCCGGTATAAGCAAAACACTTCTGTGGTTGTGGGCGTGATGTGAAGGTGTACCTACCTAGGCGGCATCGTGCCTAATCACTCATGTTCCAGCGCCAAAACATAGGGTCGTGCATTTATATCCTCGCAACAATGAAATTGGCAATATGAAATGACAAGTGACTTCAATGAAAAATCAGATTACCATATCAAAAACGGCTGATCGCCAACAAGCCCACAATTTAAAGCGTATTCCTTATTGGAAAACAGTGCACACAAATACACGTGTGACCGACACACCTTTGAGGGTCGTGTTTCTGTACCCAACCGGCACTATTTTTTTGACATACCACACTGGCACTGAACTGTAGTGCGTAACAAACTTTGCTTGGAAAAATGAAAAACAGTGCCCGTTTGTTGCGAGTGCTTTCTAACATATAACTGGCACCAATATTCTGGAAGGGGGCTCAATGCGTCATTACACAAAGGGTCTGGTAGTTGCCATTTTTGAAGCAGGTTACTGTAATGCTTTCTTTCTTTGTTTTTTTTTCCAGGGCTTCCCAACACACATGAATTTGGCTGTACAGCCACCACCATATGATGTTCATCAAAACTCCATAGTTCAGCGGCTGAAGGAGCAAAACCATCTTTTAACTGAGGTATGCATAAGTTGAGAAGCGCGTCACCAGACATTGAGTCTGACCTCTACTCGGCAAAGCATTTCACTTTGTAAATCTGTGAACCGTGCTCGAGCATACTTTCAAGTGTACAGACTTGCAGAGCTCCTTTTAACTCGGGCTCGCGTTGCGAAAAGCTTGCACTCGTAGTAAAATCTTGATGTTTGACAAAACTCTCTCAATGTATTTACTACAGCAACAACCCCTTATGTTGTCTTTTTTGCATTCAGGAAGTGAGCCAGAAGAGTGAGGTGATTGCACAGCTGGAAAGAGAGAAAGCTACGCTGATACGGGAGCTCTTCCAGGCTCGATCACAGCACAGGGCCCCAGTTGATGAGACGACTCTCATGTGAATGCAGGATTACCTGCTTACTTCGGAAAGCCACTGCTATGAGTGCCATCTCTTGCAAAAGGCAGGGAGATGTAAACATTTGTGTGAGACTTTCTCTTCAAAAGCCCCAGAAGCACCACACTGACTGCAGGGACGTCAACAAGTGCGGACAAATCATTGTCTCTGTCAATCGAGCCTGGCTGAATTTCGGTTTGTTTTAGCCGCTTATTGGAACCGCTTGGGTAGCAGAGAAAACTGTTATGTTCAGAGCAGTTAGTTAGTTAGCCACTGCGGTCAGAAAAACATATTTGCAGGGAAGTATTTGCTTTGATTATCTGAATTGACATTTCTTAGCCCTTTGTAACAGAGGTGCTCTTAGCCTCTGCTGGTCCCTCTGAGGCCACCTCTGCTAATGTTTCTTTGTGAGACACTGTGTGTAGGGTTGTCAGATGTAGGGTTGTCAGATGTTGCTACAAAATGTACTGCCAAATGTGCCAGCCAGGATTGTCCTGTACCAGCCGAGCAACAGATCCTCTGCCTGCCAAGACGTCGACATCGTTCTGCTGCTGCATAAAGCACTACTGCTTTGATCATGCTGTGTGTACACCCTTGGCAAAAATTCTCTAGCATAATCAGATTGTTGATGGGTCTGCGGCATTCAGGCGACATGTTCAGTCGAGGTTTAGCACTGCGTATGTGTTACCTGTAATACATAAGCAGTAATGTACGACCCATGCTTTATTACATTTTTTGTTCATTTTGCAGGTCGCATTTGGTCGTAGGTCGCATGGATTTTCTGCATGACAATCTTGTGTGCTGCACAGTACTAAGTATTCTGATGAACTGAAACAGGGCAGAAAGCAAACAGGAGTGTAGAATTGATACTATTAAAGGGACTCAGGAACAGTAGTTATGCTGGCATGAGACCTTAATTTTTTTATTTTTTCTCCTCTTGTTAGTGGTGGTCATGGAGAAAGAAAAATTGGGAGGCGCAACTTGGCTGCTTCCCACATCTGCATAATATATTGCACAGAAGTACAGTCTGGCAGTAGGTCTTACAAGCTTCAAAAAAAAAAGTTTGCCGTGCCTGGCATTTGGTCATGTGATAGTTAATCAAAGCTATGCAGTTTATCTGTCCAACACCAGGTGCTCTTGTCTGCCCTCTGCTTCCACCTGTGTTTATTCTTCCACCAGGGTGAGCATATTGGCCAACGGAAGGTTCACTCGCATGCAGAGTTGCTTCAAAATTTTCAGTTAAGACAGCCCACCGACTGCTCTTAGGTGGCCATCTGTTATAAATGTGTGGTTAGTGTCAGAAAAAAAGCAGGAGTCTGTCAAATTTTGTAAGTTGCAAATATTCATGCCTACTTTTTCAAATCATCGTCACACGATGCTCCAAAATTGGAAGAGTCTCGCTGGCACTTGAATACAGCTCTTTAGATGAATTTAAATTCATTTTTTTCATCTGTGAAATAGTTTGCAAAACCTTATCAGTACCTATACTAAGCAGCATGAAGTTTTCATCTTTCAAGAAGCCCCCTTCCGCATTTATATTGAAGTTCCTTTGTTTATAAAGTATGCGACAAAGAAAGTGCATTTTTTAATACAGTTACTACAGTGTTGCATGTTACATTTTAGGAACGTAGAGCCTGGTTTTCAAATTTTTAAACAGAACAAATTTCTGAAAGACTAGGCAATACTATGTGTCCACTTACAACCTTATGACTGTATATCTGTCTTGCTGCAGATGCCACATGACACTTCTGTATGCTAGTAGCAGTAAAATTGTTTCCATAAGTGAGCATTATTCAGATCAGTCTGCAATGATTTACTTCAATAAAGTTAAATGCATAAAATTCAGTAACCAGAATGTGTTACCTTATCAAAACTTTGACTTCATTATATTCAGAATTAGTAAAGTTTTGATGTTGCCAGCTTTATGCAAGTAGAAAAGTATCTTGGTAGGGCAGAAGCATCATGCTGTTGAGCTTTATGCGTCTACTGCTGCGCTTTCTGAAGCCAGTTATTGTTGATAGTCATTGACGTGGATCAACAATTCCATGTCCTCTGCTGTTCTTGATCAGCAAAGGTCTCTCCCATGATCTGCCAATCAACCCGGTCTTGCATTTTCTGTTACCACGTTATACCAGCGAATTTTTTAAATCTCATCGGCTCATCTAACTTTGTCTCCCCTTCGTGCGTTTGCTTTCTCTGGGAATCCAGTCAGTTACCATTAGACCAGTGGTTATCCTGCCTACGGGCTATGTGCCCGGTCCATGTTCATTTTTTTCTTCTTCATTTCAACTATGATATTCGTAACACCAGTTTGTTCCCTGGCCCACTCTGCTCTCTTCTTGTCTCTTTAGGTTACACCTATCATTTTCCTTTCCATTGCTCACTGCATTGTCTTCAATTTAAGCTAAACCCTCTTTGTAAGCCTGCAGGTTTCTCCTCCATAGGTATGTACTGGCAAGATGCAGCTGTTATATACCTTCCTTTTGAGGGTTAGTAGAAATCTACCAGTCTTCATTTGAGAAATCTTGCCCTATGTGCTCCACCTCATTCTTATTCTAGTTAATTCAATCTCGTGGTTTTGCTCTGTGGTTACTGCCTATCCTATATAGACATATTCCTTTATTACTTCTAGTGTGTCTCCACCTATCACAAACTGTAGTTTTCTGCCGGGACTGTTGCACATTACTTTAGTTTATTGCATATTAATTTTCAGACCTACTTGTAGTACTACTTCTAGCTGTACTTGATACAAAGGCATAAATAAAAAAATTTTCCAAAAGCGAGGCATCTTTGACATTTCGGATCGCTGGCTTTACTCAACTTCACCATTTACACAAGTTGCATCGGGAGTACACAAATGACATCGGTTGAAAGAACACATCCTTATAATATCCTGCCATAAATATCCATCGCATGCAAATTGATTGCGTTGGATAAACCGCGATTCTAATGTTGGATATATCATCATTTGTGGAATCATGATATATCCATCGAATTTGATCTGCACAAAGTGCTGCCTTTTGTGTACTGATGATGTCGCCTGCGTTGGTGGCAAAGCGTTCTTGTTTTTTTTTCATTATTGTTGAGTAAAGCCGGTGATACAAAGGGTTGAAACCAGACACGCATATCATACACAGTGTGCCAGCAATGTGTAACCATTATTATTACATGTACAGTGTTAATTTTGCTTGTCAAATTAGCTATTTTAAAGCTAATTTAAATGAAGCATGGCAAAATGTAATAAACTACCAGCTGCTTGCTCCCTACTCTGTGATCGAGATATTTCTCGTGTGCCACAATTGCAGCCGTGACCGCATCAACTCAAAAGTTGCTCAGGGTAATTTCACTGCATTTGTCTGTGTACTTGTTTTGTTTGCTCACTGTAATTGCCAGTGCATTGTGTACATCTAGCTAGGGTCCATTATAGTGTTCCTTAGTTGTCAGCAGTACCTCGTAAGGGTGCTGCTGATTTTATGACTCAACTCACATGCACGAATAAGACTGCTGCACATTATGTGCCTTGCTCTTAGAATGTTTCTGGTGTTTAGCAGGGAACACTTCAGACTTGCAGAGAGTATCCTTTGAAATGACACTTCTGTTTCAGTATAAGTGCCTCACATATGCCTCGGATATGTAAAATCATATTCCTGTCTTACCTTTGATTTTAAGCTTGTACATGGTTGTATGCAAGTTTTCCAGGCATCCGTTTGTGCTTGTAACAACATTGTACGCATTGCAATGTTTGAGGTTCATTTCGTTATTGCCAGCATTCTTTTGCTGTCTGTCGTGCCCTTTACAGCAACATTTGCATTTTATGACACAACAGTAAGGTTTCATTTCCACATTTCTGAAATATATCTTTAGGTAGAACCTGATCCAGCACGAGCATCCCATATGGCTTTCACACTAGAAAATTGGTGCATGAAATTCAATTAATTTCATGTGATTCAGCCCACGTAGCATACTTCAAGGTAAACTTGTGTCATGAATTTTAAGGGTTTTCTTTTACCTAGGCCAACCGTGACAGGGGGATAAGTTTGCGGGTATTGGTAGCTTGAGATGGCAGCCATGCTGCTCTGCCGAGCTGGCACTGGCATATTAGAAAGTGCCACCTGTCAGTTCTTTTTGCTTTGCTTTTTACTGTGCACCAAATATGTGCATATGTCTAGCTGCAATATTCTGTTGCATAGTGGTTTAATCTGCAACAGGTTTTTTTTTTTCAGTTTATTTTTCTCTTCAAAATCAAAAGTGCAAGCATTGTGAATTTTTCTTAGAGTTTGTTACATAGGAAGAGAGTTATACAAATGTTTAATGTTTAATGAACATTAAGTTGTATACATTCATACCTTGGTTTCTTCCAATGGCTGCCCTTGCTTGCTTGTGCGATGTCTGCCTTCATGTCTTGTTGTTCTTTCTACATCATCAGTGCTTTTTCGTCTCGGTGCCTATTCGCATTGTTGTAGGTAGATGTCATCTGTATTACACTGGTATCATTCCAGTTGCCGGTCCAATTATGCCAAAAAACACTCCATTGTTTGGCTTGCATGCACAAGTTAACTTTCCTTTGATCTACTTAACTTTTTTATGACTGAGTCTGGTATACAAGAAATCTTGTTTACGAATGTTCTGCTGATACCAGCCATGAAATGAAGGTGCCTTTTTTTCTACTCATGACTATTATGTATATGTATTGTGATGAAATGACCCGTTTATAAGAAGTAAGCAATTTATATGGAAATCCTGCCATTTTACACAGGTGTTCCTTTCATAAAGTTCTTACACCCTCCTAATATATATTTTATGTTGCTTTGCTGAAAAAAATTTTGTTGCATATGTACATATAAGAAATTTTTGCTATATGTATCTTGAATGCTATAATACATATTTTGAATAAACAGTATTGAAGGCCTTTACTGGCCAATACAAGGGTACTATATTGGTTGCAGATGACACTGGGCTAGTGAAGAACCATCAGAATGACAATTAGTGGAGCTAATTCATCGGTAATTATCAGGAATATGGGTGTTTCTCCAAATACGGACATAGCAGAAGAGAACAGGACAACACAAAAATGGAGTATCAACTTAAAATGGCCACAGTGGAGGAAAAGAAAAAGGTAGACGTTAGACTCATGTGCTCAAGTTTGGGACTGGAACGCCATCTGTCAATTGGTCATACTCAAAGAATTATGCTACAGGTACCTTGCCAGGACAGATTATTTCTTCCCTACGCAATTTGATCTACAGTTGGCGACACGTGCACTTCCATGGTTATTTACGTGATAAGCCTCGATCCTCACATTCAGTTCTTTATTCCTCTGTATAAAGTGGCACAATCATCGAAGCTGGCGTGCATTTACAATTGGGACAGTGCAAACAAAAGCTGATCTTTTATTGGTTATAGAAGGCAAGGTGAGCTCCTTTGGGTCGCTGTATTAATGGAATGATTTGACAGATAATTTCAAACACTGAGATCTGTTTCAACAGGCTGTCGTATGCTGTTATGTGTGGTCGTTGGCACTTGGCGTAGTGCTCTGTGTGCATGATATTGAGCGCACGCTCACGCCAAGAAGAAAAATATATAAAGACAGGAACAAAGATCAACAAAAAAAAAAAAACTGAAAGGAGGAAAGAAAATGGAAACCGAAGGGAATGCTGCCCAGTTCAGCACTTCCTTGGCACCCCTAGTGTGGAGCTGCTTTTATGTTTTTGTTTGTTATCCCTAGTAAAGGAAACCATGTGAGGAACACCAGATGTCTGGCAACGTTTCCTCCTCACACCTAACATGCTGCGATTTGATGATGTTAACTAGCACCAGTGTGCAAGGAGGCTGTTTCGCTAGGGTATATTTTTGGAAAACGTCCCTCCGCTCTTTGTTTAGGAGAGAGACGTCGATGATGGTGTAGCTCGTCGCTCTCATACGCATAGTATTAGGAAAGCAAACGTTTTCTCAATAATACGGGGTGTGCTTGGCCGACCCACCGTTATCGCGGCCAAAGAACGCATTCAGAGAACGGGGGGATTTCAAGACTCCCGCAGAATGGCTGGCAGCTCGCAGCAATCGACATTCTCGATACCGAGCCTCCGTGATAATCTGCTCACATCACTGAGATGCGTTTCCCTTAAATGAGGCGTTTAAAGTATCCGACAGCGTGGCTGTAGCCACCCGTAACATATTGCTTAATTCCTTCGGCGACCTATTTTGAAGCATTTTCCGTGGCCAGGAAAATTCCAAACGCGTGCGCTGCCCTGTAGTTTTTCAGCGAGCCTCCGAGGCACTGTGGGGAAGCGATTGCAGCGACGTGCGGGAGCACAGTGTCAACGCGAGGATTCGGCCCCATGCTCGTCGAAAGAGGACGCATAGTCTGGCAACATCGGATCGAGGCGCGCGGGGTTTATCTAGAGTGTACTAGAACTTTTGAGCGGCGCGACCGAAACGCTTTCCCCTTACTTTCTCCATCCCCAACTTGTGGCGAAAGTAGCGGCGGCGCTGCAATCGCCCAATCTTCCCACTTGGTTTACTCGGCTGGCTCGGCGGCATGGCCGGCATCTCGGTTTTAGTCGCGAAATGACGAAGAAGTAGCGTCTAAACCATTGTTACGCGCTAGGTTGCACAACTGGATATCCGCGTGGGAAACAAAGTCGGAAGTTATCACTTTCTAAGGCCCCGAAAGACGAAGAACGACGACTTCTTTGGGAGCGGAACCTCCATCGGCTTGACAAGCCGCTTGACGCCGATTGTGCTATGTGCGAGTTACATTTCAAACCGCATTTCATTGTGAGAGACTACGTACATGTTATCAATGGTGTTCAAGTTTGAATTCCTAGGGGAACGCCGACACTTGCCCCTGATGCAGTCCCGACGATCTTGCCCAAGCTGCCTGCATATTTGACGCTCAAAACTCCGGCTTCGCGGACCCAAACAAAGCGGCATCATCAGTGTGTGCAGGCTGAGAATGACAACAGAAAACGGCGACGCATTAGCACTCCTGCACAGCTCCTTGTGGATACCAACGGTGCAACTTTTGCAGATGGCGACGAAGCTGACGAGGCAAGCTCAAGTCCCTCGTCTGACGCGGTTGTAACTCTCGGTGACCTTCGTGGTCTTGTCCTACCTACGAAGTCATGGGCGCTGCACGAGTTTCCTGGATTTGCCGGCGTGTCGTACGTAGCGTGCTCACTGAATCCTAGCACTCGTGAACTTTGCATTCAACGAGCCGTATACTTCACCTGTGCAGACAATGGAATCGTGCAATGTGAAGCATTCGTGCAAGAGAAACTAATCAGCAAGTCCAGTTTAGTAACTGTTCGAGAAGCCTCAGATGCTCTGCAGCTTGTTGCAAGCGTCCCACTCTGTTGTGGAGCAGCAGAAACTTCATTTTTGCCACCATCGGACCTTACCCACGGTCTACACGCGCAAATGAAGTCAAGATGAGAAATCTTCTACAGTGCCAAAAACGCACAGAAGCACCCAAAATTGAGTAGGCTATAAATTGCTACAGTGGCGTAAAAAAGATGTCATTTTTCGTGCATATTTTCTTACACTCTTATTTTTTTGACGGTACACCAAGAAGAAAAACAGTTTTTCCTAGAAGAGGCTTGTAAGCGAGAGAACGTGCAAATAATGACGCGAAATCTCAAAATAAATCTTTCATCTTGAATCTTTTTGTATTAAACCTGTGATGGTAAATTTAGCAGCATTAGGGATCTCGGTGCATAATTCATCGATCTAAGCCAATTCTTTGTTGCACTTCAGTGTCCCTTCAAGCGATCTTTCGACCATAACATCTTTTTTTAAATGCATTTTGGAAAGACAACATTAACTTTGTCGTTCTGTTTGCTTTGCTTTATGTTATCTTTTGTATCCTGGCTCTATATTTTACGTTTTTTACAATTTACCTAATTGCAAAAATAAGTAAACCTTGCATTTTATGTTATCAATTATGATTAACATTAGTTACGACTCTGCTTTGCAGTGTTATTGCGTTTTTTAAGCTCTCAAAATCTTCCACTACTATGTTTCACCTAAGACATTCTTTTGCAGTATTACGTATTTGCATTTCTGTGGGTCCCACAACAATGAATCTATTCCCATATTTCAAAACCAAAGGAAGGTTTGGAAAAACTCTGCTGTTCTTCAAATAATATCAATTAAGCCTATTTTTTTGTCGTGTGTGCACGCAACCACAAGCAATGAACCTTTTATTTGAATCCAGCTTTTGTGTTTTACGTTTAATGGACCAAGAGTTCCTCGTTTTGTGTGCACCATATTCCCTTTTTTTTTGGGGGGGGGGGGGGCGCTTCCGGTGTGTACCGGCCTGCTGGTTTCTCGTCTAAAATGCGTACACTTTAAAAATTAAAAAAAAAACGCGCTCGTTATATTTTACAATGTGCTATGCTGCTTCGGGCTGCAGTGCGGTCAGCAGCAACTTCAATAACAATAATATCAAATAACCTTTATTTGCGCGAAAAAGGGGAGGTATGTGAATAAGAAAAAAAAGAGCGAGATCATCTTTACACTAGGCGCGACAGAGAGGTACCAACACGTACGCGGAACGCCTGCCAGCCATCCGCCCGGGAAGATTGGTCGACGCCAGCGCCACCGCATCATTCCACGCCGAAACGGCCGCTCCCAGGCAGCTGCTCGCGCCACTCAAAAGCTTCAAGCACACTCTAGTTTATCTTTTGTTTTCGTTTTCTCTTGTCATATTGCGCTAGCTTTGTTATAGTCGGTACCCTTCGCGCACCTTGCGCCTCCGACAAACCGCGCGTGTCGCATTTTGTGACTGCAGGCGGCCGCATCACGTGCCGCGTAATCCGCGCGTATCGTTGAAATGTGAGGAGCCACTTGCTGATCGGACAGCGGCCGGCCGCGAGCCCCATAAAAGCGCCGCGCTGCCATGCACGACGGCTCGATGCGCGTGCCCTCCAAGTGCGTCTTGGCGCTGCTCGTGGGCGCCGTCCTCGTCGCCGTGTACGTGCTGCTGCCCGGCAGGAGGAGCAGCGCAATGCCCTCAGCGGCGCGTGCCGAACCCCCCGTCATCCTCATGTGGACACCGTTCTTCCGCGACCAGGTGTGGAGCGCGGAGCTTAAGCCCTCCGCGTGCGGCGGCGACCCGCCATGCGTGCGTACGTCGAACCGCAGCGCACTGGGCGCGAGCGCGCTGGTCGTATTCCACCTTCGCGACGTGCGCGCCGACGACTTGCCGCCGGAGCGGCCGCCCGGTCAGCGTTGGGCGCTCTTCACCCACGAGTCACCCGCCTACGAGTCTTGGCTACCGGACGCACTGCGGGGTGCCATCAATTGGACGGCCACGTACCGCTCGGACTCGGACGTCAACGTGCTGCCCTGGTTGCAGAAGGTGGCCCGCCCAACGCTGCCTGCGCGCAACTGGTGGGCCAACAAGACCCGCCATGCCCTGTGGTTAGTGAGTAACTGTAAGACGTTCAGCAACCGTGAGGGTTTCGTGCGGGAGCTCAGCAAGTTCATCCAAGTGGACGTGGTGGGTGCGTGTGGCGCCAAGGGTGGCCCCTCATGCTTGCCCAAGATGGCGGAGCGCTGCTACCACCAGGCGTCCGAGACCTACTACTTCTACCTGTCCCTAGAGAACTCCATATGCACCGACTACGTCACCGAGAAGTTCTTCAATGCCCTCAACTGGGGTATGGTGCCCGTGGTGCTGGGCGGCGCCAACTACAGCCGCATAGCGCCGCCAGGTTCTTACATCGACGCCCTGGCCTTCCGGAACGTGCGCCAGCTCGCCGAGCACATGAAGCTCGTGGCGTCGGATATGCGCCTGTACAACAGCTACCACGCATGGAGGCAAAACTACTCGTACGCTTGGGAGCACTTCGGGTGCGGCTTCTGCAGAATGCTGCATAACTCCTCTGCGTCGGTCAAAGCGTACAGTGATTTCAATGAGTGGTGGTTCAATCAAGCTCGCTGTTATACGTGGAAGAAAACATTTAGATACGGCAGCGTCGGGGCTTAGTGCGGACGATATATAGCAACTTACGCGCAGTTTACTTGTTGGACAGTTTTAGAATAACGTACGCAACGTTCGTTATAGATATCTATATAGGGCTCCCTGTTATCGGGCAAATTTGAAAAATTCCGATAAATACTCGCGAGTAAAACTTTTAGACACATTCTACTTACCCGATGAACTCCTATTTTAACGGTCAACATAATCCTGTTTCCTTCTTTATTCAGTGGTCGTACAATTGCGCCATAATTACATGTCCCGGCGTCTTGCTGCGCACATTCCAGTATACAGCTTGCGCTAACCGTGCGCCGAAGTTGACTTTACGTGGCATCGCACCATTTGAGGCCCAAACATATTCTTTGTCGCAACAAACACTCCTAGAGATTTTCCATAATGCCGCTGATACTACTCGAGCCATTGCAGCGATGCGCTTTTTGCGATTATATTCAGCCTATCAAAAGTCCGCACCGCCGCGTGTGCCCCCGTTGTTTGCCTGTCGTCGATAGTCTCTCATTTATTGGGGAACTGGCGATAACACGTTGAAAAATAATTCATATCGTTCTCGCGCAAGTTACTACGTGGACTGTAGACGCCGCGGCCAAGCGGGACAGCTATCGTCACTGCGCATTGTAGACGTCTTATTCACACAGATAAAGATTCGGCCGTGGGAAATTAAGTTTGATATTTCGCAATAAAAATAGACGCTTCTTGACCACGCTGCGCAACATCATTCGGTATGCCAATCGTAAACATAATCCTATAATTTTTTTCGTTCGGCGAGTTTGACAAGGTTGACCGGCAGTTCATCATGAACAGGCAGTTCATCAACCATGAACTGCTGCTGCGTCTCGCTCGCAAAACCGACGTGGCAATGTCACGGAGGAAGGAAAAGGTAAGGAGAGGCCCTGACGTCACTCGTTGTGAAGCCGCGATGAAGCCGGAAGTCGGCCATATTGAGTAGGCAAATTCTCCTCTCTTGTTTACATATGAATGCGAAGCAGAAGGCGCGACTCCCTCTCCGGCTCGGAAAGCACGTGGGCTGCGCAGCGCGTGTGTCGTGAGGATCCGAAACTAATGGAACTGGGCTCATCACTCAGAGCCAGCGGGACACCTTCAGCGAAATCGCTTCGTCCGAGTAATAACAAAGAGTAACAGCTCACTGACAACGAAGCAACTACGAGAGAACGCGCGCTAGATGCACTGACAACGGCGAGTGCTTTCACGTCATTAATTCAGCAACTGTACAGACAACACGATCGGTCGTGTGCCTTCTACGGTTGCATTCCGCCACGCGACTGACGCAGCGTCCTGCCACTGTGTCCGTGTTCCGCGTGAAACTCACCTGCGTCAGCATTCTGCGACCGTGGTGACTTTGAGCACAGTGCTAGTGACAGTTGAACGTGGTTGCTGTTACGTTGAGATTACATGCAATGCTGGTGGAGAGTGTACCAAGCGGAACAGAAAAGGTGTTTTAATACGCACATGCAAGTTGTTACTGTACACACACAACACGAAACTACGTATGTGCACATGGTCCTCACGGCGTCTTGCTGGGCTCAACAGCGTCGTCCGTTGTCACAAGCAGGAGCACTGCTCAACCGTCACTGACCTGCAAAGCGTTCGTCGTCATTCAGCTTCGTCATGGTGCCCAACGTCATTTCGCTGAACACTAACTGCTTCATCCGCGTCATCCGCCGCACGACACATGGATATGCACTTGTTCTACGCACTGTTGAAACCCCGTGATGGACAAAGAGATTTGTAAACGTTGCTAAGAGTAATGTAACAGCCAGACGAACACTGCGTAACCAATAACGCGGCGCAGAGCACAGATATTGTCCGCCACGGCTCAGCACGAGACCTGGGGAGGCACACATTCCGCCGCCAGCCGCGGCCGCTCACTGCTAGACCAGCTTCACTGCGCGACACGTAACCATAACAACGCCGGCATTGTGCCTACTGAATATGGCCGCCATGATGTCATTTCCGCCACATTTTTTACGCCCTGCGCCGGCTGGGCATGCCCTCTCCTTACCTTTTTCCTTCCTCCGTGTGGCAATGTCATCGCATGTACAACTGAGCCGCGCATTCGACCACAAATAAAAAAAAAAAAAAACAAGTGCTCTCACGCGTCGTCAGTCGCCAAAAAATAAAGGCCGAAGAAGTCGTCCCGGTGAGCAGATCTTGCCAACTTATTCCTTCCAGGCCACCTTTTGTTCGCAAATCGCTCACGGACGAGCGTTGATTTCTCTCGACAGCGAAAAATATAGGGCACTGTGGAACTATATAATAGGTATGACGTTGTGAGAGGGATTTGGAAAGGTGTCATGGTCCCGGGTTTGACGTTCGGCACTGCGGTCTTGTGCATAAAATCAGAGGTTAAAGCAAGAATGGAAATTAAACAACGTGGCATAGGTAGACTTGCTTTGGGAGCACACGGGAACGCCCCAAATCAGGGGGTACAGGGTGACATGGGATGGACATTGTTTGAGTGCAGGGAAGCTATAGCGGTAAGATAGAATTTGAGGAGCTATTGAGAAAAATGAGAAAGGAGCTTTGGGGGCTAAGAAAATTTTCAGCTATTTGTACACGAAGAATGTTGATACTAAATGAAGGAAGCGAACTCGAAAATTGTCAAGCGAGCATTTAGACAACAGCATCATACCAAGCCAAAAGGAAACATCGGTTAAAAAGAAGGTGAAGTAAACAGAGAGGGACATACGTGGAAAATAAGAATGCTTACCAAATCATCTCTGGAGACCTACCAAACTTTCAAGCTGGAAATTGCAAAAGAAAAGATCTATGATAATTCTCGGGGCAGTTCTTTGAACGGGATTATTGCGCAGGAAGACGTACCGAGCCAAATACGAAGGCACAGACATGGTATTTAGCACGGAGTACAGTGTACTAGTATTTAGTGAGTGTGGAGAGGAGGAAATGGCTAAACATTTGATAATGTTCTGTAAAGGGCTCCACCCTTTAGTTCAATATAATGGCGCATAATTTTTCAAAGCATTGGGGATTACGGACAGTGAATGCAAAATAGACTTTAAATAGGTAGAAATAACCAGGAGAGGCCTCCTCCTGATTATTTCTAGCGCCTTGATTGGTGGCTACAATCAAGGCGCGAGTGAAATTCAATCCTTAACTTAACATTATGGCTAGGTGGCGTGAGCCACCGCCCGATCTAAAGAGCACAGCCGGATACATCCATCCATGCATCCACCCATCCATCTTGTCAACGGATCGACCGTGTACCCCCATCTTTTCTAGCTCGTATGCCACGAGTGCTTTTCTGCTCCTACTAACCTTTTTCTCATATTCTTTTATTCCCTTATCCCATCCCCAACAAGGCACTGCGCCGTGTCGCCCAGAGGCAGACAAAAATTATAGGTATTCCTTTCTTCAGGAACGACTACTATCTCGTGACACCTCGACACCACAGAGTCATTCGGTTCTCACGTTTTTTCGTCTTTTTTTCATATTTTTTGTGGGGGGGGGGGGGACTTTTCCGCTTTGTTCTGTTCGCTGTCGCGCCAAGGAGAAGCACAAAGAAACGCGAGGGTGTACCGGCACTGATCAGATGTTACGCGATGGACCACGAGACGTGCAATGTTATACGTTTTGCTGGGCGAACTTCTTGCATAGCTTCCACAGAGTTGCACCTGATGTAGTACTCAGCACATTGCTAAACCGTATAATTGTCCTTCCCGGGCCCAGTCCACCCTTGTTACGGCGGATCCAAGGAGAGGCGATTGTGGGAGATGAAGGTTCGGCCGTTCACATCGCGCATTCTCCCCACGTACCCCCCCCCCCCCGCCTTCTGCACCGGGAAAAAAAAACTGGCATTTCTTCCACCAAACCATTAGGTTGTCTGTCATATATTCGCGGGGACGCTATAGTTTTCGCCAAACCATGCGAGTTGCACAAGGACTCATAGCCAGCAACCGCTCCTTGATACCATATTTAAAAAAAATTCGTGAGTACGGGTTGTCACTAAAGCCACTATTTCGGCAAGCGGACTTCTCTTCTTCAAGATTGTATCGAAGAAGATCATCCTCCCCTTTATGTTTGGATTAATTACGACCCTGGCTTGATACCAGTTCATTTTGTACCATTTTTATTTTTTACAACATTTTTTTCTGAAAATTTGGAAAATAGGTAGTGCCAAAGCCCAGTGAAAAGGAGAATGCCGCTCGGTACTTACGCTTTTCAAAATTATTGATTATGATGAAATTGATCCATAGTGAGTTAATTGTGGCGATTATTGAATTCACTATCTACGCAGGCAATTTGAAACACTATGCTCTCATTCGCAAAAAGTGTTCTTCGCCGTCTTTAATCATTTCACTGCTGGTTTTCTAGCTAAAATATTTCCTTCTTTTTGGAATGGCCTTATGACGCCTGTCATCCTATGAATGACATGAGCCATAAGGCGTTTTTACCGTGGTATACAGAGAGAAAAAAATACCTTTTCAAAAAAGTGCCCCCTTCCCTTCCCTCTCCTTCGTAAAAAGATTTCTGCTTACGCCCCTGCCCCTCACGTGTCGTATGCATTGCCTCGTGGTGCACCATACTGCATTTGCAGTATATGGTGCACCACGAGGCAATGCATACAGGGTTGTAGGGTTATAGTACTTCTAAGTTCAGTTTACTAACAATATGTCACATATGTCAGTAACCGGTTAGTCAGTGAGGTTAGTAACGGGAAAATTGGTGACAATTACTCGCTCCACCCTTACTAACAGCCTGACCATGGAGTACATAGAAGAGAAAGCACTCAGCTCCTTTTCTCCGCGACCCAAGCTTTTTCTGCGTTATATGGACGATTGCTTTTGCGTCAATACAACGGCTGAAGTTGAAAACTTCAGACAACACCTAAATTCTGTGCACCCATCCATACAATTCACGACCTAGTGTGAAAGCGACCACTGCCCGCCCTTTCTCGACGTCCAGGTGGCAAGAAAGCGTGACGGCCTGGAGTTCTCCGTTTTTAGGAAGCCAACGCACACTGGCCGCTACCTTTAATTCGATTCTTCCCACCCCGCCTGCCACAAGGCCTCGGTTGTGACCACGCTACTCGAGAGAGCTAGGAAATTATGCTCTAATGACACCAAGCGAAAGAAAGAGGAGGCCCGCGTAATTGCTGACCTCAGAAAAAACGGATACCCAAAAAACTTCATTCGAGCCACCACCCACCGCGCAGGGCAACAGAGGATACGAAAACACCAATCAAATTCAATTGACAGCCCCCCGAAACGCGTACCGGTTCCATACGTTCAGAGAACCAGCGAGATCTTAGCCCGGATCTTCAGAAAGGAAGGGGTTCGCATCGCGCGCGTGCCTTCGTGTACGCTGGGCCGCCTCCTCCCCCGCTCGAAAGACCGACCAACAATGGACAGGCGCCCCGGTGTCGTTTACAAAATTCCGCGTGACGAGTGCCCCTCGTCGTATGTCGGCGAGACGAAAAACCTACCGGAACGACTGAAGCAACACGCCAACGATGTGCGGAAGTTCTACAAAGAGCGCAGCGCAGAACATGCTGAGACGTTGGATCACAAAGTAAATTTCGAAGCGACGGCCATCCTTGAAAGCGAGCCGAACTGGAGGAGAAGGTTGTTACTCGAGTCCTGGCACATACAGAGGACAGCCCATAACATCAACCGCTCTCTCGGAACCCTTCCCCCAGTGTACTTATTCACTCGGACTGCGCTCC